TTTGTCTGATAGATGGATAGGAGGGATAGCTAGAATGGATGGATACGATGGAGGGATGGAGAGATAGTTTTGGGTCCCTCTTCCCTTCCGAAGACCCAAGATTGCAACTCCCATTGCTGAGTGATCATGGGAACTGTAGTCCAACCTCTCCCTCTCTTCTTGCGGTCTGTCTCTATTATTCTTGCGCCTCCATGCCCCCCCCAGGGGTTCCCTGCTTGCAAATCCTTCTGGAGAGCGAATCTTTCTCCAGCCAGGAGAAAGAAAAGGGCGGCTGGAGTTGGGGGGTGATTGATAAACGTCAATCTCAGCTTGGCTGCCCCGGGGTGGGGTGGGGTGGGGTAGATCTTCTCCTGACCTCTGACCTCTGCCACCAGCCTTGTTCAAAGAGAGATGAGGCTTCCCCCCTAGATAAGGCGGCAGGACGGGGACCTGCCCCACCCACCTCGGATCTCTGCCCAGAAGTAAGAGGAGCAGGGTTGTGAGTGCCTGTCAGTGTGTGTGTGTGTGTGTGTGTACATGTTTCCCTCCCACCTGCTTTTCTAACCCTGAAGGCAAGCCCACCCACCCTCTCCTTCTTCTCTAGAGGCCCCTTCTTCACCCCTCTCCCTCTGGAAGGCCAAGCAGGTGGGCGAAGACACACACACACACACACACACACACACACAGAGACACCTTCTCCAGCCCGTACCCTCCCAGCTGGCTGGGGAGGATGGGGACTGTAGTCTGAGCACACTTCCTAAGGGCCCTCCTAGGCTGGAGATGACAGAGGGGGGGGGGAGTTCACCTGGAGGATGCTGAAAGGTGCTGACCAAGGGAGCCAGCCCCCTCCCAAGAATTTGCCCTCCCTGATCCAGCAATGGAAGCCCACCCCCTCATCCTCCCGACGGGAGAGACACCCCCCCTCCCCAAGGTGCTTCCACCTGGATCCCCCCCCCCGGCATCCAACACGGGTGGGAGATGCCATTCCTCCCCTCCCATCCCGCCCTCACCCCCAACAGCGTCTGCCCGGGGGGGGGGGAAAGCTCGCCTGGAAAAACGGGGAATCCCTTTGCTCGCCGCCTCGCGCCGGGGATCGGAGTCTCCGGCCAAACCGGGGGTCCCGCGCGACGCCCCCACCCGCCCACGCACCCACCCACCCAGACTCTGCCGGCTCCGGCTTCTGCAGCACACAAAGGAAGCCCTTGCAGACCCCTTTGGAGAAGGCATGCTCCTGCGACCCCCCCCCTCTTTCATGC